CTTCCCTATAGGAAGACTTTCATTGCTCGTTTCTTGAAGACGAGGACCTCTGATACTCTCAGATCATCTTACAACGATCGACGCCTCACAGCAAGAGATTCCGTTAAGAAGTAGACATAAAAATAATTTTTTTCATCATCCTCTGCAGCCATTATATTATTATATGAATAATTGACAACAAACATACAGGAGGCCAAGTACAGGCGTTGAGTCACAGTAACGTGGCTGAAGTATGTTGACCAGACCACACACTAGAAGGTGAAGGTACGACGACGTTTCGGTCCGCCCTGGACCATTCTCAAGTCAATATGGTGCATATTGACCATTCTCGACTTGAGAATGGTCCAGGACGGACCGAAACGTCGTCGTCCCTTTACTTTCTAGTGTGTGGTTTGGTCAACAGGAGGCCAAGTGTGTGGAGACTATGAAGCACCGTATTCTAAGACTCAAAGTGGAACCTCAACCTTGTCCACACATGTCAGTCGGCTTCATATTTGGCGTCGACTCGTTGGTTTCCATTGTCAGGGCTTTCGATATCTGTACCTATACAATGTCCAGGTCCCTCGTCATCTTCGTGAACCTGTGCATGTCCAGGTCCCTCGTCATCTTCGTGAACCTGTGCATGTCCAGGTCCCTCGTCATCTTCGTGAACCTGTGCATGTCCAGGTCCCTCGTCATCTTCGTGAACCTGTGCATGTCCAGGTCCCTCGTCATCTTCGTGAACCTGTGCATGTCCAGGTCCCTCGTCATCTTCGTGAACCTGTGCATGTCCAGGTCCCTCGTCATCTTCGTGAACCTGTGCATGTCCAGGTCCCTCGTCATCTTCGTGAACCTGTGCATGTCCAGGTCCCTCGTCATCAGCATGTACCTGTCGACGTCCAGGTCCTCGTCTCCGCTCCCTCGACCCTCACTGTCGATGCTCTCATTTCTTTGGCATTATTTGTGGTCTGACTCTAACTTAATAACAATACAAACTATACATGACTCAACTATGGTTGACACTCACATCTACTGTTCTCCTCACCAGCCCACTCAAATAAATATATTCGACTGGCTGTTGACCAAAAAATGCTTGTAAATGCATTTATAATGCCAGTGATAACGTGAAATCCTTTTATCTCTTGTTATCTCTGATGAATTTGAGAATGTATCTCCTATAACATAACAATTATCAATAGTCATATTGAAGTCATGCAAGTCTTTTCTCTACAGGAAATTTATACATTTGAACAATAAAAAAGTAACGCTTGAGATGAGAGAGCAGCTGAAAGTTCTTATGTCTAAAGCTAATATACAAAAAAAAAATTCTTTTTCCACAGGGAAGACTGTGTACTGCTGTGTGTCACTCTCACAACCCTTGTACACCCATAGGGAAGACTGTATCTCTCACTCAACACAGGTGCACCCACTGGGAAGAGTGTGCACCTCACACAACACAGGTACATCCAATGCCAGTGGTAAGGCTGTGTAGCTCACATAGCGCAGGTACACCCAGTGGTAAGGCTGTGTACTACGATAAGTGTCCCTCACTAACAGGCTACGCCTTCCCCACAACCTAAGCAGTTTATCCACGACACTTGAGCTACCACACACATACTTCACGCCTACATAATGTCATTACTGTGGACTTGGGTGGAAATATTTCGTATATATGTCTTTCCAAACACAACTTTCGTTATACAGTAGCATACAAGGCGCTATAATACAACAGATCTCGCGCTGGCCCAGTGCGGAACGAGGCAATGTTTTGTTCTCTCGGAGTTGACGAAACGGGTCTGTGTGCGAGAAACAGACGCGATGTTGTTGAAGTGGATGCCCGGGATATATGTCAAGGAGGAGCAGTCCGTATTATCAGTGGGTCACATATTATGAACATTAAACAATCTTCTTGCAGAAGTCCATGCCATTACCTTGCGAATGTTCGATCCCTTGGCCGCTCACACGGCCAAAATCATTTTTGGATGGTCTAACGTCAGCCAAGTGTTGAGACGTTAACTTTGGGACGTTCGGTGACATCACTAAATGTTGATATACCTCCAGTAATAGACTGCAGCACCTCCAACACTAGAGGTCACATCAACAGCAACAAAGTTGCGAATTTGGCCTCATATCTTACGAAACCATCTCTGCTTGTTATGCAAACACAAGAAATTTCCGATGTGAATTGATTCCTGCCTGTTTTACGTAGACTGGCTCGTGACATTAAGCATCCTTGAAACACCGGTTGAAGGTCCAGTTATGATCCCACCCTCGCGTGTTCCAGCTCCAAGTTATAGCCTCCATCCTCGTGTGTTTCAGCTCCAATTATGGTCCCATCTCCATGCTTTTCAGCTCCAAGTCATGACCCCACTCGTGGTCATAGTGTGTTGCAGCTTCAGTCATAGCCCCACCTTCATATATTCTGGAGGTGGGCTGGGACGTCACTAAGTGTTCTTGTCTGCAACTGTGTTGATGATGCCGGTGTTGGCGGGACTGATGGACTCGACGATGAGGGAGAGACAGTCTAGACTGGAAGTAGAGGCTCCTCCGCCTCCCCCTCCGCCACCGCCCCCTCCTGACCCATGCTGCTCAGGACCTGAGGAGAAATAAACAAAATTAGTACACAATCAAATCACAGTAACGTCATATATCCATGTGAAAATCTGGGGGAACAGACCGGTGGGATCGAATAAGCGTCCTGGATCACCCCAGACGCCGTGCTCCACGGGTCGGCCGCGCGTTGGGGGCACCCAGGACGCTGACCAGACCACACACTAGAAGTTGAAGGGACGACGACGTTTCGGTCCGTCCTGGACCATTCTCAAGTCGAATGTGAATACGAATTCTCAAGACCCAGGACGCTGGTGCGATCCTGCTCCAGATTTTCTCACAACATTTGTCTCTCTCCCAATATGTGCATTCAGGGAATATTTACTTATTTTATTTATTAAATGTGCAAAGAGAAATATATTTGTTACTGTATTTACGGGATCTCGTGTTTAACTTGGTAAGGCTTAACCCGCGTCTCTCCCTAACCAAGTATCTCATTGTTCATCCCAAGATGATAGTCTAGAAGATGAATTAAACTCTGCTTGATAGAACTAATCTTGTACAAGAGACAACTCATCACACGAGCATTAAATGTTAAATAAATAAGTTTTCAATTTAAAATCTTAACCCGATTCTTAACTAAAACTTGATCCTAAATGTGAACTTGAAGGAAAGATATATAGATGCAGACGAGGAGTCACAATAACGTGGCTGTAAAATGTTGACCAGACCACACACTAGAAAGTGAAGGGACGACGACGTTTCGGTCCGTCCTGGACGGACCGGACCAATCAATTGAACAATCGACTTAATAATAGTCCAGGACGGACCGAAACGTCGTCGTCTCTTCACTTTCTAGTGTGTGGTTTGGTCAACAAGATATGTAGATGTAGATATGTAGGAAGGGAGAGAGGGAGGAGGCGCGAGAAGGGGCCAGGACTGGGATATGACTCACATTAGCGTGTGGTGGGAAGACTTGAGCTTACAGATGGAACAAAATGGCGGAGAGAAGCGGAAGTGGTGTGCCCCATGATGGACGCCCCGTTCACAGTGACGTGTAGGCCGCGGGAGATGTAGTGATATAAACATTTAGGTGAAGCACAGCGACCTAAGACTGGAGCTGGGGAGTGTGTGTGTGTGTATTCACCTAGTTGTACTTGCGAGGGTTGAACTCTGGCTCTCTGGTCCCGCCTCTCAACTAGTGTATAGGTTCCTGAGCCTACTGGCCTCTATCATATCTACATTTAAAATTGTGTATGGAGTCAGCCTCCACCACATCACTGCCAAATGCATTTGACCTGTTAACTATTCTGACACTGAAAAAGTTCTTTCTAACGTCCCTGTGGCTCATTTGGGTACTCAGTTTCCACCTGTGTCTCCTTGTTCGCATACCACCCGTGAATACTCATCTAGTTGTGCTTGCGAGGGTTGAGCTCTGGCTCTTTGGGCTCGCCTCTCAACTGTCAATCAATCAACTGATTTTTTTTCCCACACACACACACACACACACACACACACACACACACACACCCAGGAAGCAGCCCATAGCAACTGTCTAACTCCCAGGTACCTATTTACTGCTAGGTGAACAGGCACAGCAGGGTGAAAGAAACTGCCCATTTGTTTCCGCCTACGTCGGGGATCGAACTCGGACTCTTTGCACAACGAATTCCGAGCGCTGTCAACTCAATCGTCAGGCTACAGTATGTACGTGTGTATGTGTGTGTGTGTGTATATGGGAACCTGTGTCGACCATTCTTATAATCTGGCTGTCTATTTATGTATCCTTTTAACTTTCTATATTTGTACCACATGTCTGTTCCATTGTATATCTTCTCGCATAGCCACATATCTGTCTATTAACCGTACCCCGCGCTAATCCAACGAGACGCACCAGCTGCGCTCACGAACGCCCCCAACTTCCCACAACCTCTATTATTTCATAAATCACGCGTTTCAAGATCCACCTTTCATCCCTGTTCGACTAACGCAGGTGACGCGGTCGATAGTGAGCCTCGGATTCACACCCTCATGCCCTGATCACAGGCGGGGCGGGGCGGGGTAAAACTGGGCAGGGCGGGGTAAAACCAGGCAGGGTGGGGCAGGGCAGGGCGGGGCGGGGCAATGGGCACCATAATGAAAGTATTAAGACGGATGGCGCGAGGCCTGCAGCTCTGATCCTTCATTTCTCAACTGGGGATCACGCCTTGAGACGGGTTGAGCCACGGGAAAGGTTTAGGTGTGTCGGTGGGCGGAGGTGTGAGTGGTGGGGGGTGGTGGGTAGCGAGGGAAGGCAAGCACTCGCAGAAGGTATGCACTTTGTAAAAGCGCGCACTCGCAAACGTCATTCCTCACAGAAGGTATGCATTTACATCAAGATGCATACTCACATATGACATTTGCAAAAAGCAAGCACTCATAGAAGGCATTCCCTTACAGAGGGCACGGACGTGAAGCCCGGACGGGCTCAAGAAGCACTGACTTCTGCCCTCACGGAAGGCAGACGTCATCTTTTGCTGAAGACTAGTGCGTTTTGGTTTTGTTAATGCCATTTTTCCTTCTTTGAGAAGTCCCTCAAAACATTATAGGGTTTGTTTGGTTGCATCACAATTAAGGGTGTTTTGACTTTGTTGTTCTGAAACACAGATGTTTCAACGCAAGGCAGGGTTTTACATGTATTACTGGTGAGAATGTGTTAATGGTGGAACACCGCATAGGTGTTTTAGGAGAGAATTTGTTGTGTTGGAACACTGTACAAGTGTTTTAGATGAGAATTTGTTGTGTTGGAACATTGTACGGGAGTTTTGGAAAAGAATTTATGGGGTTAGAATACTGTACAGATATTTTAAGAAAGAATTTTTTGGATTGGAACACTGTACATGTGTTCTAGGGGTGATTTGGTTCGGTTGGAATATGATACAGGTATTAGAGGATAAAGTTAGTTGAGTTCGAACACTCTGCAGTTGATAGTCAAGACTTGAGGTCTTGCCTCGACAAGAGAGTGCGAGTGGGCGTTAATAAACACCATGTAGCGAGAGCTGGGGGACTGCTCCTGACTGATCTAGGTCAGGTTTGTTTCCTTTAAGAAGTAAGAAAATTAAAACAAGTATTTCTGCCATGTTTACACTACCCCAGATTGGACACACAAAGCAAGGAAAAGTATTTAAGTAACCCCTTGAGATATTGGTGAGACGATCAACATTTATTTTTCTTGGAAGAGGGTGCATTGCTAGGGTCACGCTAGACACAACGGTACTTAGGTCATGTACTAAATTAAGCGTTGCTGGGAATCACACTAAACACAGCGTTGTTAGCGAAGTTCGATGAGCGAGAGCACTGATTATAAAGAATAATTCAGGTTCGTGTGTCGGTTTCCGTTCTATTTCTGGTTATTTTCGTTATCTTAAAAAATGCACAGCACAACTGTGGACTGTTATCTTCGTGCAACAGAACATAGTTGTGCACAAGTGCTTCTCAGTCGTCATAAGTACTAATACTAATTGGAGAATGGTTTGGTGGAGGGCATTAACAGCTGGCCAGGTGGCCAACCTCACGTGTATCTACTGTTTGTATAACAATGTGTACATCGTGTGTGTGTGTGTGTGTCACAACTTGTATACATTGTGTCACACAATATGTATTCCCCGTTTGTATAACCTTGCGTATACATTCTGTTTGTGGCTGGGATGTGGGTGGAGTGCGCGCGCTGGCGGGCGGGCGGGCAGGTGGGTGAGGCTCCTGTCTCACATACTCACAATTTACTCCCTCATATAAACTTTTATGGCGTATGAAATCCTAATGGGAAGGCTTATGACTTTCTGGTAGAGGATGTCAGTGATCCCAGGTTATATATACGGCCGCCGCCGCCTCCGCCACCCCAGTGTAAACAAAAAACAAAATAAGGATGTTTTGAAGCTCAACTAATGGGTGTTTCTTGCCACGATAATAATACACAAACAATTAATCTAATTTACATTCGACCTCTTAGACTTGCAAGTCTGAAAATAAAACACAAGTCTGGGTAGGAATGTGAGAAGTCAATAAAAGCTTAGAGTTTTTTCGTTGTCTAGTGAGGTCAAAGGTATTCGAGGCGGGCGAGCGGCTGAGGGTCTCGCTGGGAGAAGAAAAATATCTCTGTTTTGCAGAAGTTGTCCAACATCTCACTCTCTTAGGACGAGGGCCAAGCGCCTCCTCCTCCTGCCCGCGCGGGAGACTCCAGAACCGCGGTTTCTCTTGGCACTGTGGCACTCGGAGAGGAATACAAATATGTAAACACAGCTATATTTGACCCCCCACCCCCTCCTCCTCCCTCTCTCCTCCTAGATTCTCAACACCCTCTCTCGCCCCCCCTCCCCGCCTCCTATTAATCGCATCAGTATATATATCACAGCCTTAATGCCCCCCTTAAGCACTCATCTTCTTGACCGCCAGCTCCCCATTAACCCCTTCCCCTTGACTCTCCCCTTAGCTGCATCGCGCTCACCTTTTTCTTTTATTGCTGCGCCATCGTGCGTTCTCATGATGGCGAGGAAAGGGAAAGAGGGAAAGGAGGCTGAGAAGTGGAAAGTGAGGAGGTAAAGGGGAAAGTGGGAGGGAGAGGGTGAAGTGTGAGGGGAGTGATGAGGGGGTTGAAGGGCAGCGCTGACGGCGGTGCTAAAGACAAGAGAGAGATGAGAAAGGGGAGTTGAAAGCCTGAGGAGAGGAAATAGAAGATTAGAATGAATGAAAGGCTGGAGAGGAGAGGAAAATAGAGAGATAGAATCAATTTTGACGCGATTTTAAGCAACCCTTTTGTGCCCTCTGTAATGCTTTTGCGCTACCGCTCACAGGATGAGTATGGGGTGCACAATAAACTAGCCGCCTTCGGCGGCAACAATCAAATCATGATTATAAGTCGAAATTCAATTCTACTTGTTGCTGAGGCAGTTCTTTCGATGATATTAATAGTTGCCATACTGTTTTTGACTTATTCTGGCCCTTCAGGAAGTTTATAGAGGGTTATATTGCTATTCTAAAGAACACTTCCATTGTTAAGGTAAGATATAG